TTTAGCATTTAAAACATAGAGCTACACATTCAATAGAGCATATTTGATATATCTTCATAATTTCATGCAACAGCATTGATACTAAGAAGCCATTGTGATGATTTTCAATAATTCCTCGGTTATAAAATGGCTTAATATATCATTTTTTGATCATATGATCTGCACTCTTATACTTGTTTGGTTGCATGAGAAACTCATTCTGTCTGTGTGACCTACTGTCATTTCATTCAAAATATATGTTCAAGTCCGTTTGGAAATGTGGTTGAAACCGCATTCCCTCAAATTTCAATACTTTTTTGGTTTTTTGTTATTATTTTTTTTTAATGTTTTCAATTTTAATATGCTGATCTCAAAAATGATTTTAAAAAAATTTTTTTTTAATGTTTTCAATTTTAATGTGCTGATCTCAAAAATGATTTTAAAAAAATAAAAACATCATTTTAATGCATTTTTAAGTGAAAAGTACTTTGAACCACAACCATTACCATAATCCCAAACAGACCTTGATTTATGTAGAGCTCAAGTTGGTTCTTGGGTTTGTTTCTATTCCCATATTTCTCTGTGCAGTGTTGTTACCAAGGTTCCCTGTAAATGACAATCTCAACCATGCTAGTCCATTTGATGCCTTCAATGTGAAGCGTGGAGCAACCATAAAAGAGTACACATCGATTAACATTGTTATTGTACAGGTGTCCACTGATGTCAATATTGATGAGGTTGCTCGCAGGACAGATGGATACAGTGGAGATGATCTAACTAATGTTTGCAGAGATGCTTCTTTAAACGGGATGAGGCGAAAGATAGCGGGCAAGACACGGGATGAAATTAAGAACATGCCTAAGGATGAGATTTCAAATGATCCTGTTGCAATGTGTGATTTTGAAGAAGCCTTGCGGAAGGTTCAGCGCAGTGTTTCCCAATCAGATATCGAGAAGCATGAGAAGTGGTTCTCGGAATTTGGATCAGCCTGAGGGAGATGAGACCCATCTTGAGATGAAGACTCCTGCTGATTGGTATTTTCTTTACACTTGTTTCACTGGGAATGATATTTGTATTTTGGCATTGATTTGATTGAGTGTAACCCATTTGTTGGTGAGGGCTAATATTATTGTGTTATTACTGTAACCTGCTGTAATGTAATGGAATTGCTTTTGACAACCTTTTGCCCATTTGGCTGGATAAATACAGTGCTGATTTAACCAATTACACTGGAATAGAATAATCTATGGCATAACTAGTAGTGATTGACAAATGCCCCTTGCTGCAGGCTGTATAGAATTTTCCCCTGAGCTAATTGTTACGATGTGTTTGGGAGAGCAAAAAATGTCGGGGAAGAAAAGGAAAGGAAAGAAAATTTTGGGGAATGTGATTTTTTATTGTTCGGAAGGTGAGGGAGATATTAAAATGGAGAGGAAATTGGGGAGAAAATTTTGTTGTTGGTCCACAACACCCTCTCCGAGAGCGGACATAAATGACCAGACCGGTAGGAAAGGAAATCAACGGTGTTCTTTAATTCCCCCCCCCCGAGGTTCAAGTCTGCTAAATGAACTTGCTAGGCCGAGTAATTTTGATTTGGTTTGGTTCTGAATTAAAATAAATAATTAAATTAAAATTAATTTTTTTAAATTTTTTGACTGAACTGAAAATTAATTTAAATTAATGAATTTCAGTTTAATTTAATTTTTTTTTCTTTTCAAACTGGTCGGTTTAATTTGCTAGTTTGAAAATCTAGGAAATGATGTAATTTTTATACAAGCCAAAATAGGGGTTTGCTTTTAGCAATTTAATCCTTATCAAGAATTTGAAGATCAACCATGGCATAAGTTTTTGCATATAGAAGACTGCCTTGTTTTTTTTTTTTTTTTTTTGCTGTCGCATCACCTCTTCTTGTTATGCTTGGAGTATTTCATTTAATAGCAACTAACCGCATTAATTTTTGGGAATACAAGCTTGTTTTTTTTCTCATGAAAACTTTAATAGCAATTGAGAAAAATTCTCTATTCATGAGTCATAACTCGTTTAGGTTGAAAATTTAGTGTGTTCAAGTTTAACAAAAAAAAATAAAATCTAGGAGTCTACAAGGTTTATTGAATAGATGTTTATGTATGTGCTATGTGGAGGGAGGGTTTGCTGGTTAATGTCTAGAGGAGAGATGCCTAGAGCAAAGGTGAAAAATGATAACTGATTTTGTTTTTAGAAAATAATATTTTAAGATTTAGGGTTAGAAAAAATATTATATTTATAAATAAATAAATAAATAATTTTTTTTATTGGATCAAGTGTGATAATTATACTCACCCTTGAAATAGCATAAACGTTTAAAAATTGTTTTCCTTTAGATACTATGTTTTTTTTTTAAAAGATTATTATCTTTAATGGTCGTAATTTAATATATTTTTTTCTATGTTTTCAACGCAAACCGTGTTAAAGAAAAAAGTAATTTTGTATCTTATATTCTTCAATTTAAATAATTTACATGGTATTATTTGAAACTTTTATTTGGAATAGAAGATTTGATAAGTTTAGGGATTAAAAAAACTTTTTTTTTCTTTTTGCTAGGGTAACTTCAATAGGAAATTGATATGTAATTAAAACTCCAAGGAGGACATTGACACAATTGAACAAATATTTATTTACTCTAATCTCGCCACCTCTCCATATACCCTTTGAGAAAGAATATTTATTTTGAAAACTATTAAAAATTGCATTGGAAAACTTTGGAGAACTTCGAAAATGAGTACTTAGTATAAACTTGAAAAACTAGTTTCTGGTTTTTTAGATGGAGAAGTATTGCATTTGAATACGAATTTCCAGTTTTTTTTTTGAAATATTACTCTATTTCTTAATAATTCTCATTCTATTACTCTATTTCTTAATATTACAGAGCAGCAAATTTAACTTCATGGCCCATTTTGGCGTGTCATTGAATTTGGATTAATTGTTTGCATAAGTTCTTGTTTATATCGTAAAGTGTGCTTAAGAATCATCTACATGTGTGTGGAGCTATCTAATTTGTTCATCCAAAACACTCCTCTTCCTCCTAATCTCAATTTGATGTATGGACATGAGAGATCTTATGGCAATATTCTAATGATTGATTTCTTGCTCCAATGGCAAGGAGTTCCAAGCAAAAGGTACAAAAATCCTTGTGAAGGCTGAAGCAGAACAATATTCTTAATTTTTTTTTTTTAGCTTTATAATTAGCACAATTTGTCTCTGCTGTGTGGTTAAAATTGACGTCCAAAGACAACAATTCCCTTCTTTGCATCGCTTGTCTCGCCCGACGGGGACTTAAATTGCTCCTCCCTGCCACCATTCTGCAACACTTGTTGTCCCGAGTGCATCAGAATGAGGAAGAGGACAACTACTACAACAATGAACTTCGGGCTGTTAAAATGCAAGAGTACCACACTAGTTAAATTTGTATTCTGTGCAGGAAGTAACGAGGTTGTAACCATATTTTTTTATTTTTTATGTTTTTAGATTAATAGAATATACTGGTTTTAAAAATAATTTTTTTAAAATAAAAATAATTTTAATATATTTTTAAATAAAAAATACTTTAAACCATAACTACTATTATAATTCTAAAAATAATATTTTTTTTGAATTCATGATTAGTTATTATTACAAGTTTTTTTTTTAAAATAATCATAAGATAAGGATTAAGAATAAGAAAAACAACTAATTGAACCAAGTTTTTTACTGCTTCTGATATTGTTGATTCAATATTTGATCCTTTAATATTCTTTGTTTATAGTTTTTAGTGTTTCATTATGAATGTTTTTTGTTTTTTAGTTTAATTTTTTATATTATGTTTAATTAAGAATTGACTTAATAGATTAATTTTAGTTCTTTTATATTAAGTTTATTCAAGAATGGACTTGATAATTTGATTTTATTAACTAAATTTTAGGTTAACGCTTGATTTTATGAAAAATAGCTCGGTTTTTGTTTTATAAATAATTAAAAATAAAAAAAGCTAAAATTAAAGTTGAAGAAAAAAGTTCAGCATTACTCTTTAATAGAGGATAATTCAGGCATAAAAATTAGAAAAAAAAAGAAAAAAAAGAAAATTTAATTAAAGAGCATAACTAACATAAAAACTACTATTAAAGATTTCAGGAAGTCACACATAGCTCCCTAATGTGTTAGCTTCCCTCAAATACTAGTACCATGTATTATATTTTTTTTCTATCATTTTCTTTCAAATTTGTTCTTGAATTTTTTATAGCTCTTCAATTTAATTTGAAATTTCATCTCATTCAAACCCAATAAAAACCTAACCATGAAGAGAAAGGAAGAGTGAAAAAAAAAAAAACAAATTGTCTAGTCTAGTTAGCTTAATATAAATGATCATGAATTATGAATTTTATAGATTAATTTGGATTGATGATGGTAAAAAATCAAGTTGATTGATTTCAAGATTGATTTATCAAAAATTCTTTATGTCAAGTCTTTTTTTAATTAAAATAAAATATTTTTTAAATTTTCTTGTAAAAATATTCAAACATCATTTTATAATTTTTTTTAATCAAATCATGTTTCAATTAGGTGAATTTAGTTTTTCATGAGTTTATATTTATTATTTTAAAAATTAATGATTATGATAATGTTAGTGACAACTCAAATTTATATATATGCACAGGATGAGCACAGAGAACAAAAATAATATATGAGAAGTTAAGTGGGATTTGAGAATGCTGTTGAAATTGTATTTTTTTTTATTTTTTATTTAAATTTAATTTTTTTTATGTTTTTATATCATTTAAAATATTTTTTTTAAATAAATAAAATAATTTTTAAATATATTTATAAATAAAAAATATTTTAAATTACATTTATTATCATATCTCTTAACACTCAGTTGAGAAACTAAACAACAAATTGGAAAGAGCGGAAAAACAGAGTCAAATTCTGAACAGGACAATAGTATAGGCAGGTAGGTGTCCCTGGAGGTGAGTCTATCAATGTTTTTATTGGAAAACCTACTCTCATAAATGCTCTATAAATTCTTAGGATCACCAAGCTTAAGCTTGCTGTGTTCCTAAACCATGAACACATTCAAACTGAACTTCACTCCAATTTCTTTCCATCTTATTCTCTTCAGTCTCTTGGCATTGACAGTAAATGGCACATTACAAGGTAATCCAGGCACCAGTATGGGATTTGTGTTTCAAGCTTTTTGATTATGGCTGGTACTGATGGTGATCTTTTATTCTCTTAACTGATGTGTACAGATGATGTTTGTTCATTGATAAATTGTGGGGAAGGAGCGTGCAAGGCTTCTAATGCTTCAGTGCTTGGTTTTGACTGCGAGTGTTATTCTGGTTGGAAGAAGATACAGATTGGTCCTTTGACCTTCCCCTCTTGTATTGTTCCCAACTGTGAGTGCCTCTCTCCCTGTCTCTCTCAGCTCGTGCTTGTACTGATTAGAATGAGAAGTGCTGATGATCTTTTTCGATTCTGTGCTAAAATTGATAACGATAATGTCTATGTCAGCAACTAGAATTTATGTGTTTTGTACACAACAGAGCAGATATATATATTTGGAAACATTCTCTCGCTATGAGTTTTTGGCATAAATTGTATCAATTCCACTGGATCTCTTCTGCTTGTCCCTGGTTTTGGAAGTGACATACTACCATTTGACAGACGAGTTTTCTAATGCACTCTTGTTTTTTTATCTTGTTTCGTACGCCTGATACTTCTTTTTTCCTTTGGGATGCTCGCTTAATTTTAGGCAAGCATTGAAGTATTCCTGTAATTTCTACAACACCTTCGTTCTTTGTTGCGATCCAGATCCAATTTCAGATGTCTTGATATGACGTGAAATGAGATAAGCTAGCTAGAATCAGCAAAACATAATTACCTTCTTTTTCTTCCTTACGAATCAAAAGCTAGAGAGTGAAACATTAATGCGAGACGATCGACAATGGCATCTTGTTCTAGTTGGGACCATGAGCTTTTTCAGCATGTTATACTTCACCACCATGGCATAGCACATGGAAATGGAAGTTGACCCATGATTTGTTTTTCAGAAGATTGACACCCATGATTCGTTTCCCATGGGAATGGAATGCAAACAATTTCATGGACGCTACCCTTTGGGCCAAGTCTTACCCCTTGTACATTTGAACAGAGTGGTATGAATGTTTTATTGGATTGGGCCATGAATACATCTAATCAGAGAGGAAAGAACCTCCATTATCTCAAGCTCCCAGCTACTTCTCAAAATGGAAAGGGACGAGCTAGCAATTTTTAATTGGTTTCTCAATGCATATGCTGAATCGTTGAATTTTTTATTTTGTTCGTAGGGTATCCTGCTTGGTTATTTATTTAATTTTGAGTGCATTTCTTAGTCTATAAGAGACTAACTCCAAATCTCATGTCGATTTTTCAATTTAATATGACGTGATAAAAGCAACAACCAGATGACAATGTATGCATATGCAGGCACTGTTGACTTTGGATGTGGCAATGGAGCTCCACCACCACCTCCAGCTCCACCGTCTCAACCTCCACCGTTCGATTTCTTAAACCGTAAATACTATTGAACATTAGCATATTCGTCACTGAAATTTGAGAAAATTATGCATCTTAAACCTAGACATTCGATCTGTTTTGCAGCCTGTAACCTTGTTTGGTGTGGTGATGGAACGTGCGTGGCTAATGGAACAGGACACATATGCCAATGCACCGAAGATTCTGCAAATTTGTTTAACATGACAGGCTTTGCTTGTTTCAAAAAATGTAAGACTTTCCCTCCCACCGTTAAGGTTTGGGCATTAAGATTATGGCGTTTGTTTTTATATTTTAAAAATATTTATAACTACTATTATAATTCTAAAAATAATATTTTTTTTGAATTCATGATTAGTTATTATTACAAGTTTTTTTTTTAAATAATCATAAGATAAGGATTAAGAATAAGAAAAACAACTAATTCAACCAAGTTTTTTACTGCTTCTGATATTGTTGATTCAATATTTGATCCTTTAATATTCTTTGTTTATAGTTTTTAGTGTTTCATTATGAATGTTTTTTGTTTTTTAGTTTAATTTTTTATATTATGTTTAATTAAGAATTGACTTAATAGATTAATTTTAGTTCTTTTATATTAAGTTTATTCAAGAATGGACTTGATAATTTGATTTTATTAACTAAATTTTAGGTTAACGCTTGATTTTATGAAAAATAGCTCGGTTTTTGTTTTATAAATAATTAAAAATAAAAAAAGCTAAAATTAAAGTTGAAGAAAAAAGTTCAGCATTACTCTTTAATAGAGGATAATTCAGGCATAAAAATTAGAAAAAAAAGAAAAAAAAGAGAATTTAATTAAAGAGCATAACTAACATAAAAACTACTATTAAAGATTTCAGGAAGTCACACATAGCTCCCTAATGTGTTAGCTTCCCTCAAATACTAGTACCATGTATTATATTTTTTTTCTATCATTTTCTTTCAAATTTGTTCTTGAATTTTTTATAGCTCTTCAATTTAATTTGAAATTTCATCTCATTCAAACCCAATAAAAACCTAACCATGAAGAGAAAGGAAGAGTGAAAAAAAAAAAAACAAATTGTCTAGTCTAGTTAGCTTAATATAAATGATCATGAATTATGAATTTTATAGATTAATTTGGATTGATGATGGTAAAAAATCAAGTTGATTGATTTCAAGATTGATTTATCAAAAATTCTTTATGTCAAGTCTTTTTTTAATTAAAATAAAATATTTTTTAAATTTTCTTGTAAAAATATTCAAACATCATTTTATAATTTTTTTTTAATCAAATCATGTTTCAATTAGGTGAATTTAGTTTTTCATGAGTTTATATTTATTATTTTAAAAATTAATGATTATGATAATGTTAGTGACAACTCAAATTTATATATATGCACAGGATGAGCACAGAGAACAAAAATAATATATGAGAAGTTAAGTGGGATTTGAGAATGCTGTTGAAATTGTATTTTTTTTTATTTTTTATTTAAATTTAATTTTTTTATGTTTTTATATCATTTAAAATATTTTTTTTAAATAAATAAAATAATTTTTAAATATATTTATAAATAAAAAATATTTTAAATTACATTTATTATCATATCTCTTAACACTCAGTTGAGAAACTAAACAACAAATTGGAAAGAGCGGAAAAACAGAGTCAAATTCTGAACAGGACAATAGTATAGGCAGGTAGGTGTCCCTGGAGGTGAGTCTATCAATGTTTTTATTGGAAAACCTACTCTCATAAATGCTCTATAAATTCTTAGGATCACCAAGCTTAAGCTTGCTGTGTTCCTAAACCATGAACACATTCAAACTGAACTTCACTCCAATTTCTTTCCATCTTATTCTCTTCAGTCTCTTGGCATTGACAGTAAATGGCACATTACAAGGTAATCCAGGCACCAGTATGGGATTTGTGTTTCAAGCTTTTTGATTATGGCTGGTACTGATGGTGATCTTTTATTCTCTTAACTGATGTGTACAGATGATGTTTGTTCATTGATAAATTGTGGGGAAGGAGCGTGCAAGGCTTCTAATGCTTCAGTGCTTGGTTTTGACTGCGAGTGTTATTCTGGTTGGAAGAAGATACAGATTGGTCCTTTGACCTTCCCCTCTTGTATTGTTCCCAACTGTGAGTGCCTCTCTCCCTGTCTCTCTCAGCTCGTGCTTGTACTGATTAGAATGAGAAGTGCTGATGATCTTTTTCGATTCTGTGCTAAAATTGATAACGATAATGTCTATGTCAGCAACTAGAATTTATGTGTTTTGTACACAACAGAGCAGATATATATATTTGGAAACATTCTCTCGCTATGAGTTTTTGGCATAAATTGTATCAATTCCACTGGATCTCTTCTGCTTGTCCCTGGTTTTGGAAGTGACATACTACCATTTGACAGACGAGTTTTCTAATGCACTCTTGTTTTTTTATCTTGTTTCGTACGCCTGATACTTCTTTTTGCCTTTGGGATGCTCGCTTAATTTTAGGCAAGCATTGAAATATTCCTGTAATTTCTACAACACCTTCGTTCTTTGTTGCGATCCAGATCCAATTTCAGATGTCTTGATATGACGTGAAATGAGATAAGCTAGCTAGAATCAGCAAAACATAATTACCTTCTTTTTCTTCCTTACGAATCAAAAGCTAGAGAGTGAAACATTAATGCGAGACGATCGACAATGGCATCTTGTTCTAGTTGGGACCATGAGCTTTTTCAGCATGTTATACTTCACCACCATGGCATAGCACATGGAAATGGAAGTTGACCCATGATTTGTTTTTCAGAAGATTGACACCCATGATTCGTTTCCCATGGGAATGGAATGCAAACAATTTCATGGACGCTACCCTTTGGGCCAAGTCTTACCCCTTGTACATTTGAACAGAGTGGTATGAATGTTTTATTGGATTGGGCCATGAATACATCTAATCAGAGAGGAAAGAACCTCCATTATCTCAAGCTCCCAGCTACTTCTCAAAATGGAAAGGGACGAGCTAGCAATTTTTAATTGGTTTCTCATTGCATATGCTGAATCGTTGAATTTTTTATTTTGTTCGTAGGGTATCCTGCTTGGTTATTTATTTAATTTTGAGTGCATTTCTTAGTCTATAAGAGACTAACTCCAAATCTCATGTCGATTTTTCAATTTAATATGACGTGATAAAAGCAACAACCAGATGACAATGTATGCATATGCAGGCACTGTTGACTTTGGATGTGGCAATGGAGCTCCACCACCACCTCCAGCTCCACCGTCTCAACCTCCACCGTTCGATTTCTTAAACCGTAAATACTATTGAACATTAGCATATTCGTCACTGAAATTTGAGAAAATTATGCATCTTAAACCTAGACATTCGATCTGTTTTGCAGCCTGTAACCTTGTTTGGTGTGGTGATGGAACGTGCGTGGCTAATGGAACAGGACACATATGCCAATGCACCGAAGATTCTGCAAATTTGTTTAACATGACAGGCTTTGCTTGTTTCAAAAAATGTAAGACTTTCCCTCCCACCGTTAAGGTTTGGGCATTAAGATTATGGCGTTTGTTTTTATATTTTAAAAATATTTTTTTAAAATATATTTTTTATTTTAAATTAAAATTTTTAATATTTTTAGATTATCTTAATACGCTGATATTAAAAATAATTTTTTTAAATTAAAAAAATATTATTTTAATATATTTTTAAGTAAAAAATACTTTTAAAAAACAATCGCAACTACACTTCTAAATACCTCAAAACTTTGTATGTCCGCGGTTTAACTAGGTTTTTTAAAATTTATTTTAAATTAATGTTTAGGGTGTTTTTGGATGTTTAATATTAAAAATAAATTTTAAAAAATAAAAAATTATTTTAAATATATTTTTAAGTAAAAATTATTTTAAAAAAACATAATTATAAACACTGCCCTAAACACCCACCTCTTGTTGTGTAGATATGCCTTACCTTTTGGTAACCCAATTATATTATTATCTATTTCTCCTAGCTATTCTTAAACTTGTCAAAGAAGGAAAACCAATTTCGAATCTCCTAATTACCAGTATCAAGTGATGCATTCTTGACCTTTTTGTTGGCAAGAACTTTGTGGCTAAGGATTAGTATTGGTTTATCCATTTTGTGCTGCAGCCTGCAGGTTTAAATTACTCCATGACTATGATTTTGAACATAAGACCACATATATGTTGCAGGCTTAACAGTTAAATTTCTTTCCTTTTAAGGTTATTTAGGAGCGGATTGCCCTGGTCTTGTATTGGGCAAGCCACCGCCGTCTCCTCCACCGGCACCTACTAGTTCGGCCACTTCAATACTTAATGGCTTGCTAGAGGCATCAAATTCCTTTAAGCATCTTTGTGCATTATCAATGATATTGTTAGCTGCAGCTTTCCAAACATGGCTTTAGAGACCACCTGAGCACAGGTGCTCATGATACTGTTATTGATAGTATTTTTGTGCTCAAAACATTGCATACGGAAATAAAGATTGATCGCTCGCTAGGCAGCTTGTTAAGCCTTTATCCACTGGCTTCTAAACTGTTGCGAGAGACCAATGGGGTCGCCCTGCTCTTACTGTTACTTGTGTTTAAAACCTCTTTAGTCGCTCAGGGGCTCCGCGCGGTAACATTATGAATTATATTTTATTAAGAAATCTGAGTTTGAAGAAAAAAATAATGAAATGGGCTCTCGCTTAATCACTAAAAGTTTTGTTTTTGGTTTTCCTAGGTATAAACTTGAGAAAAAACACTGGATGTGAAGATGGCAAATCATGTTATGGAATTTTGTAGGTAGAGTATATTTGTTTTTGCATTTAAAAGATATGTTTGAAAAAAATTGAATTTTTTATGTTTTTTGTTTATTTCAAATTAATTTTCAAAACTTTACGGTTTCTCGACATATATTTCTTTCCTAATAAAATAATTTAAAAATACATTATTAACATCAATTAAAAAAAAGTGTAAAATTGACATAAAAAGTATACTAAAAACATTCTTATTGATTCTAGTCTTGTTACTATTGCAAAGATTTTTTTATAATCAATATCTTTATCATGAATATAATTTTTGTCAACTAATATAGTTTTGTTTCTAACAATTGTCCCGTGCTTTTCAAAATTACAAGTGCATGGACTCATTCCCACACATCATTTCTTTTAAATTAATTTAGCTCATCTTGTATAATTAAAATTCAATCATCATACTTTTCCGCTTCAAGAAGTAATTTAGGCTATATATATATATATATATATATATATATATATATATATAAAAAATAAAAAATGACCGCTTATACTTATAAGAGATGCTTTATTATTAATAAATTTGAAAGGATTGTTAAAAACCAACTTGAGATGGTGATAGCTACATACCATAACTTTTTTAGTGGTATAAAACAATTACTTACCATCTCTTATTAATTGCTTATGCTTGGTTGGTCTTTATTCATTCATTTATTTTTATCCTTGAGGATGAATAACTAAGAAAAATTTCAATATTGGATTTTGAATTAAATTTATCTAAATTTTGGTCGTGCTTGAAAACAAGTCATCTCCAGTTATGAGCCTTGAGTAAGCACTATCCAAAAACCACTCTCCATACTCCTTTGATTTCTCATGATTACTTTTAATTGTTATGAAACACATGTTTGTAATATGCTCCTCTTCATCATTTGAACTAGAGTCTGAATCATTACTCCATGTTGATTTCATTGCTTGTTTATGATGATGATTCTTCTTCTTGTTTTGAAGAAGTGGAAAATTAATCTTGATGTGTCCTGTTTTGTTGCTTTTGTATCATCTAAGGAGTTCATTGCTAGATTCTTATTTTCATCCTTTTTGAAGTTTGAGAATCTTCTATTCCCTTGCTTCTTCCATAGAAAATCTTGGAATTGCTTTTTAATTAGTGCAAATTTCATCATCATCATGTTCTTTAACATGGTGAACTACTTTGAATGCTATTTTTTTTTTTGCGCTTCTCTCTTTTTTCTTGCCTTTTCATGGTAATCTCATATGTTAGTAAAGAACCAATGAGCTCATCCAATGAAAGTTTGGTAAGGTCTTTGGCTTTTTGAATTACTATTACCTTTACTTCCCAAATCTTTGGTGAGGACCTAATAATTTCATTCTTGACATCGACATTAGTATAAGTCCTACCAAGAACATCTAAATATTGGTTATAGTAGTCATTCTAGTAAACATACTAGTTATATATTTATTTGGAATCATTTTGAATAATTCATATTAATGAACTAACATGTCTATTTTGGATTCTTTAACTTGGTTAGTTCCTTCAAGTGTTATCTTTAAAGTATGCTATATGTCTCTAACATTTTACAATATGTGATTCTATTAAATTCATTTATACTTAATTCATAGCTTTAGCATCAATAGAAAATATTTTTTTTATCACCATCCGTACATTCACTTCTAGCTATTGGAATCATAATACCATCTTTAATTTTGGTAGGTTTATGAGGTCCATTCTTTATGAATAGCCACAAACCATAATCAATATATTAAAGATATATAATTATCTTAGCTTTCCAATGGACATAATTATTACCATCATAGAAAAGTAACTTAGAGGTAGATGATTTTTTATTTGAGAGATTATAGCTGGTGGTTCCCATTCTACTTAAAATCTAAGTAAACTTTATAAATGAGAACTAAGTTCTGATATTAATTGTTGTTTTAATATTAAGACAATTATAATACCTAAGAAGGGTGAATTAGGTATTTCACTAATATTAACAAACAATACAAATTAATTCAATTAAATATAATAACCAATAATATAATTACAATGCTTAAAATAAAAAGATAATAGAGAGATTTTGCAAACTCAATCTTAACATGATTCAACAAGTTTACATTCACACCTCAAGTATCAAACCAATCTTAGTATTGTATTCCTTCACTAATACAAGTTTAAGAGTATAATAGCCACTTGATGAATCCATCAAAAGATTTTTCACCCCTTGAAAATATTTTATCTTCAAGATTTTTCACCACTCGATGAATCTACACCAAGAATTTTACACCATTTGAAGAAATGCAATCTTCAATATTTTTTCTTGGTGAAATTACTTTATTAATATCAAGAGTTTATACCTAACTCTCAAAGATTTCAAGTGTAATTGTTGTTATCACAAATAACTCTCTCAATATAATAAATAATACAATTTAAAGTCTAATATCTTTATATCTTACAAAATAACACTTTAAAGATTTAAAGGTATTCAACTGTAGTGAGAATGAGATTAAATACTATTCTGCTAGAATATAAAAATTTAATAACAACAATTAGAGTATAATTAGGGATTAATGATTTTGTAATGTTTGTGCATTATCAATGATATTGTTAGCTGCAGCTTTCCAAACATGGCTTTAGAGACCACCTGAGCACAGGTGCTCATGATACTGTTATTGATATTATTGATATCATTGCATACGGAAATAAAGATCGCTCGCTCGCTAGGCAGCTTGTTAAGCCTTTATCCACTGGCTTCTAAACTGTTGCGAGAAACCAATGGGGTCGCCCTGCTCTTACTGTTACTTGTGTTTAAAACCTCTTTAGTTGCTCAGGGGCTCCGCGCGGTAACATTATGAATTATATTTTATTAAGAAATCTGAGTTTGAAGAAAAAAATAATGAAATGGGCTCTCGCTTAATCACTAAAAGTTTTGTTTTTGGTTTTCCTAGGTATAAACTTGAGAAAAAACACTGGATGTGAAGATGACAAATCATGTCATGGAATTTTGTAGTTAGAGTATATTTGTTTTTGCATTTAAAAGATATGTTTGAAAAAATTTGAATTTTTTATATATTTTTATTTACTTTAAATTAATTTTCAAAACTTTACAGTTTCTCAATATATATATATATATTTTTTTTTTCTAATAAAATAATTTAAAAATACTCTATTAACATCAATTTTTTTTTAAAAATGTAAAATTAACATAAAAAATATACTAAAAATATTTTTATTGATTTTAATCTAGTTACTGGTGCAAAGATTTTTTTTATAATCAATATCTTTATCATGAATATAGCTTTTGTCAACTAATACAGCTTTGTTTCTAACCATTATCCCCGTACTCTTCAAAATTGTCAAGCCTAGAATTTCTACACATCATTTTTTTTAAATTAGTTTAGCTCATCTTGCATAATTAAAATTCAATCATCACTTCAGGAAGTAATTTAGACTCTCTCTCTTTCATACTCTTTTGATTCCTCATGATTATTTTTAATTTTTATAAAACACATATTTATAACATACTCCTCTTCGTCATTTGAGCTAGAGTCTGAATGATTACTTTATGTTGATTTCATTGCTTGTTTATGATGATAATTCTTCTTTTTGTTTTAAAGAACTGGAAAATTAATCTTGATGCGTCTTGTGTTATTGCATTTGTATCATCTAAGTACTTTATTACTAGATTTTTATTTCTTTTCTTTTTGAAGTTTGAAAATTTTTTTTCCCTTGTTTTTTCCATAGAAAATCTTGGAATTACTTTGTAATTAGTGCAAATTTCTTCATCATTATCATCATCATATTCTTTTCTTTAACATGACGAACTACTTTGAATGCTATATTTTTTTTTTTACTTTTCTTTTTCTTTTTGTTTTTTCAACTTATCTAATGAAAGTTTGGTAAGGTTTTTGACTTCTTGGATTACTATTACCTTTGCTTCCCAAATCTTTTGCTAGGACCTAAGAATTTCATTCTTGATATCAACATTAGTATAAGCCTACCAAGAACATCTAAATATTGTTTATAGTAGTCATTCTAGTAAACATACTAGTTATATATTTATTTGGAATCATTTTGAGTAATTCATATTGATGAACTAACATGTTTATTTTGGATTCTTTAACTTATTTCCTTCAAGTGTTATCTTATAAAATATGCCATATATTTCTAACATTTTACAATATGTAATTCTATTAAATTTCTTTATACTTAATTCATAACTTTAGCATTAATAAAAAAATATTTTTTTTATCACCATCCGTGTATTCACTTCTAGTTATTGGAATCATAATACTATCTTCAATTTTGGTAGTTTATAAGATTCATTCTCTATTAATAACCACAAACCATATTCAATATATTAAAGATCGCTTTTCAACGGGCATAATCATTACCATTACATAAAGGTAACTTAGAGATAGATGATCTTTTATTTTAGAGATTATAGTTAGTGGTTTCCATTCTATTTAAAGTCTAAATAAACTTTAAGTAAACTTTATAAATGAAAATTAAAGGAAAAACATAATAAATCTAAGAAACTTTTGTAATCTTCATAATACAAAAATAATAAAATATTAATTTAATTTTATTGAATATTCATGATCACAAATTTAAAATAATTCTACATAGTAAGTTAATATATAATAATTAACTCTAACTGAATGATTGTTAACATTATAAAAGATGCTATAACCTTATTTTAGAACAAATGCAAAATTGAATGATATTTAATGGAATAATATTTTAAAT